CGGACTACTGTGTGTTCAAAGCGGGAGTGGAGCCCATGTGGGAGGACTCGCACAACATCTTAGGCGGCAAATGGAGTCTCGAGTTCCCGAAGTCGGCCCACAAGCAGACGGACCCGCGTTTGGATGAAGTTTGGCTGGAAGTGCTGTTGTGTCTCATCGGCGAGGGATTCAACGAATTCGGTCAAGAGATCTGCGGCGCTGTCGTCAACATCCGCTCCAAAGGGGACCGCATCTCCGTCTGGACGGCCGACGCAAACAAGTCTGTGGCGAACCTCAGGATCGGAGAGATTCTCAAAATGCGGACCCGATATGAGCGACAACTCAAATACGAGGCCCACGAGACCAGTCAGCGCATCGCCAAACACAAGGAACACCTCTACACTCTCCTCGCCTCCCGTCCCCCCAATCATAAGCCCACCCGACGCTCCTGTGTCTTCTGAGAGCACCCCTTCCCTCCCCTCCCTGTCCTCCCTGTCCTCTCATCCCATCTTTCGTTCTTTACATAACTTCACAAATATTTATGTTTTTTTGTGTTTAAATTCATTTTCTTAACAGTCTTTCCATTCGTTTGTATTATTATTTTCTATTAAAAAAGATTTCAAATTGTTTTTCTCACTTGAATTCAATGTGTTTTGGTCTTTGATTTTCAATTAATTTCTGTTTTCTTAGAGTGAAAGCTCTTAACGAGTGATGGATTGCATTGATTTTGAAGAGAAGTTTCATAAGTTATTGATAAAAGAGAAATGATTTATAGATATATTGGTTTCAAAACAAGAATACCTTTTATTAATAGAATAGCGAAAAGTGTTTTTTATATAAGAATTTCTCAGTTTTATAGGGAATAAACGGCTAACTATTGGCACTATTGGCGCCCAATCACGCTATCCTCACACGGAATGGCGTTAATAACTATTCATATATCAAAAGGCCGATCGCCTGCCAGCGCCTACCGGTGCTCTTAATAGTCGAACGGCTAATACTCTTATATTATAGAAATTATGATTACTTTTAGTCAGTTATATGACTGACTGTGCGATCAATTGAAAGAGTTTTGGCTGTAATACAGAATTCAAGTTAGAGTAATGGCACTGACATTCATACTAGAGCTCAACCATTAGACTCCCGATCCTACCCCATAAATGTCGGAGTTTCCCATTCAGATACTGTACTTACAATTAGAAAATTAGATATAATTAAGAAACTCAAGTCATAAAAGTTGAAAATTATGAAAATATAGTAATTGCTATTATTAGTCTAATTAAAAATATGATAAACTATTAAATTTACAAATAATATAAAATTCTTGTCAAAGTTTTTGTCACAAAAATTCTTGCATTAAGTTATTTATGATAGTAAGCAATGGGAATTTTGTTCTTGAAACAATTTTTGAATTAAAATATTTATACAATATATTTGATTTGTAAGGTCGGATCGGGATTGTGATAAATAGATTAGACCCAATTTTCATGTCTATTTGCTACCGGTGCTGATCACTGGTAGGCATGAATGGCGTGCGATCGCCAATTGATGGCTGGCATCGTATTATTGGTTTGGGTTTCAAATGTTAACAAT